CGACAGGCCAGCTTCGCAGTCCCCAAGAACTAGTTTGGGGAAGTGTAAAGATCAGAAATGAAAGCTTGGCTTCACACAAAACTGGGTTGTCGAAACACAATTGTGTGTTGGACACGCTATATTGAAAAAAAAAACCCTCTATTCCAGTTTAAGGGCCAGGAGTATGTAATTTAGTCAGACCCACTGGTTCTGATCCTATCCTGGTTCCTACAACATATGAAGACCATGGACGAGTTTTCACAACATGTGGAGCCACGAAATATTCAACCCCATCTTAACGGGGGTTCATTAGCTCAGCGGGTTGGGTGAACCAGGCAGTGGTATCTCCTCACCTGTACCATACAGGTGCGCCTGTGAGACGGCCAAGGATTAAGATCAGTCACCTACCTCTAGAGCAGTGTTTCCCAACTTCAGCCACTTTAAGATGGGTGGACTTCAACTCCCAGAATTCCCCAGCCAGCCATGCTGGCTGGGGAATTCTGGGAGTTGAAGTCCACCCATCTTAAAGTGGCCGAAGTTGGGAAACACTGCTCTAGAGGACGCCAAATTGGGGAAGGCTGCACCCACATATAAACGATGTATTTCTAATTTTATCAGAACAAATCCACATTTCTATTGGGCTTTATTGTTCAGATATAGGTACCTTCCCCTAATTGCTACCACGAGGGCAGGCTGCTGTTTCAAAGAGAAAGAGAAAGGAACAGCTGGCCTGAAAGGAAGACTTGTGTCAAGAGCTGCCTTTTCACAGGGAGCACCCCGGCAATGTTCAAAGGGGCCATCCTGCTTCTCCCTCGCTCCCTCCAGATCCCACCCCATGCTTCAGAGCAAATTTTGGAACTGCTGCTTGCTGGCACTGTCCTTCGAGATGTGAAAGACGTTGACTGCAAATGATATTTCTAAATGCTTTTAAGAGAGATGGAGAGGCGCTCGGATGCACACAGCTCTAGTAAAAGGCGAATCGTATTTCCCTTGTGATTCAAAACACCCTTTGGATTCACACGACATCCGGAACTACGCTCTAGCCACGCCGACTGGATCACACCACGTGCCAGGCTAGAAGGTAACCAGCTTGTTTGCGGCTCCGAACGCTGTGCAAGCGTAGCCAAAAAGTGCTTGTTTGCTGCCCCTTTCAAGATGCCAACGGCAGGCACCTGCAAGAGCCGTCGCCTGACGCCGAGTGGTAGCATCTGGTTGGGGACTGTTGAAAGGAGGCAGTGGGACAAAATGGGCTCTCACCTGGGACTCATCCAGCAGCTGGTCTCAAGTTAAAGGCAAATCCCCAAGGAAGCTGGCCAAGACAGCACACAATGGCCAGGAAGCAAAGCCAGCCAGTCCTCAGTAAGGGGGATTCGCCCATCAATATTAGGAACACCTGAATTCTTGCAAAAGTTGTGCTCCCTCCAGCTGTTCAGAGAAAGGTCATTGGGGAAGAGGGGGAGTGAAGCAAGAATCAGGCAGTTTCCCCCCTCTCTTCATCCCCTCTTCTTCTAAACCAGTGTTTTTTAAACTTGGCTACTTGACATGCTGGCTGGGGAATTCTGGGAGTTGAAGTCCACACCTCTTCAAGTTGCCAAGTTTGAAAAAACACTTGTAAATAAATCAGGTTGCAGCGATGCAAGCTGGGTCCATCCATTGTTAAGTCAAGCATGGCTTAACTAAGCTGCAGTTGGTTGGCTTCACACGTCAAAGTTACGAGAGTTACAAACCCCTATGTCATGGTCCATTCATTAGGCCCAAACTGGACAAAGTCTGCGATGACTCAGCATGATTTGTGCGTTCAGCCAAGAAGACAACAGCTTGTCCACTAGTAACGTTTCAAGCTTCAATAGATCTACACCATGGGCAAACCTGTGGTCTCCCTCAGAGGTCCAACTAGTGGGTGAAGCGTCCAGCTGTAGACTTGCTCCTCGGCAAATGAGGCAACAGGAGACCTCTGCCTTTCCCCCCTCTCAGATCTCATTATGTAAGGGAACACACTTTCCAAATCTCTTTCAACAGAGAATTTCAGAGAACTTCTTGCGAAGTCTTGTTGCAATGGCCCAGAGGCGCGAATGTCCTCTCTTGCACTGTGAAGACATCTCTCCAGCCTCCCTGGCTTTCTATTCAAGGAAAGGCACCCAGAAATAATTCCTTCTGGAGGGCACGCTGGGAGAGATGAACACGATTCGGGGATGAAAAGATGTGTAGCCCAAACCCCCAGCACCTCCATCCTCCGCTACCTCCAATATCAGTTTAGCTCTCAAGCTCTACCCAAAGAAATGAAGAAATGGCAAGCTTTGTGAGAATAAAGACGAACGGAAGCCTCTTCCCAGAGGAAGACGTTCCTTCGGCTTGGCCCATTTAGGTCACCTTGCCTTCTTTCCCCAGCAACAAGCCTTCTGGCAACTGCTCACCCCAACATCCCAAAAGCCAGAATTGCCAAACCGGTGGCACCAGCCCTTGTGGTCCACCACCGTGCAATAGACCAATTCTGAACAAGTGCCACCGTCCATAAAGTGCTTTTCCTTCAGATCATCAGAAGGAAGTATGCGAGGGAGTGAGAAGCAACCAAATCTGTTTTGGGGTCTGTTCCAGGCCTGGCCAGCTTTCAGCTTCAGCCTGTCCTCAGTTGTGGGGCTTCCAGCAGGGGACAGAAGCTACCAAGCTGTCCGTGGGGAGGCCTGTTGGCCTTCGCCGAGCGAGGAGGCACAGACAACAGCTGCTGCTTCCGATCCGTGCCAGCTACTGGATCCAAGGCAAGGGTGGAGTTGGAGAGCGGCTAGAAGGATGAGGCTCTCGTTCCACGGGAAGCAAATCAGGTCATCCTACCTGAAGGGCAACATCATGAGAAAGAAATATTGCAGAAGCTTCTATTCCCCTCAGTCCAGAGGAAAATGAAAGGACAGGAAGGGATTGAACAAGAGGGTCACCAAGATCAGCCAGGAAGCTGGAAGAATTTCTTTTCGGGAAAGGTTAAAGGGGTGGGGTGGGGGTGGCAGCACTTTCTGCAGTGGGGGCAGCATGGAGGGAAAGACAGGTGGAGGAGCAGGGAAGGTGGAGGATCCCTAGGCTTTTTTCCTTCCATGGAGGATTGCTGGAGAGGAGAAAACCCTCACTGCTGGTGTGAGGCGGCCATGTAAGTTACTGCTAGGAGTAGCAACCTTGTGAATACCTTCCACGTAAAAAGAGAGAGGGCTGCAAGGGAGGTTAATCCAATCCGATCCAGCTCCCCCTCCAGGCAATGAGAGTATCTGCTGGGGGCTTCCTTCTCCTGTGTTCTGGACCACCTTGATCTGCCTCCTGCCAGTGGCAGGGGGGGGC